ATGCAATTACCAGAAATATCAAGTTGAAATAATAAAAAAAAATTATAAAAATAACATAAGCCCAAAAATAAAAAATATCAAAAATTGGATTCAAATTTCCAGTGGTGTACTTTTTGTGGAACATGGTAAATTAATATTGAAATGAAGAAAACACAAGCAGATAGATACTTTAATTTATCAGTAATTATTTTTATTTTTGATTATTAAATTTGTAAAACTTGTCAATTTTTTCCTAAATGAATTCCTCGTTTCAAACAATCTCAAAATGTATAAATTACTAAACTATTTCATAAATAACAATAAAAATAGCTTACACTTATCTATTATTACAGAGTAGCGAAATAGAAATGATACCACGCCAAATATCAGTCTCTAGCAACAAATCCGACTTTTTTATATAACAATTTACTAGCTTTTGACAACATACTAACCGTATCTTGCATACCTATTCTGCATTAATTGTACATAAGTGTTTAAGATTATAACGGCTTTTTGGCATAAACACTTTCTTTTAGGTGGTTTGACAGAAAAATAGTCAAGATTTATCAAATTGGATATGATCTTCAAAGCCAATTAATGTAACCATTAGTAAAGATTAACCAGCCTAGAAACATTCTTCTCAACGTATCGATCGTATCTCATACAGTGGCAGTTTGTGGTGAAATAAAGCTGATATACAGTAGACATTCACACAAATTTTTTGAAAATTAGTTCCAAATTAGGTTAATATAGGTATTACGGTATTAAGACGGAATCGGCCGATAAAAGGCGATTTTGCATAAACACATCAACGTCGAGTGTGGTGCAGATTATTCTATTAATTAATTATAGTAATTAAGTCGCAAAAGAACAGAAATATCTTTTGGGCAGTACTGCAGCTCCGCATCACCTACACACCAGTCTTCCCTGGTCTTATAACGTATGACTCATGGCTCATGACTATCTCATTGAAAGTAAATGTTTATCAGTTGATGTGGTCGATTGTAGATTAACTAGGGTTGCTTTCCAAATCATGCCAAAAATTTTGTTTTTAAACGAACCTACTGAGGTCTAAATGGACTTCATCACTCCCAACAATTAGCCATCATCATAAGGTCGTCAGTCCTAAAACTGGTTGGACACGCACCTCCCCTTTTTCCTATCCTGAGCTAATCTTCGCATTTCCCCAAAACTGAAACAACGCATTTCCCTAACTATTTGCGAACAGTAGTCTAATCTAGGTCTACCTCTACTCCTCTTAAGTCCTGTTTCTGCCTCTAATATGTCTCTGACTAGACCTTCATGCCTGAGAAGGTATCCTACCAACCTATCTCGCCTATTTCTTATAGACTTCCACAGACTCCTCTGTTCTTCTATTCTTTCTAATACTTCTTCACTTCTAACCTTTTCTATCTACAGTATCCTCATCATTCACTTGTAACACCACATTTCGAACGCCGCGCTCCAAACGTACACCTTTAAAAATCTTTTTCGAATTTCTAAATTAAGCGTTCACGAGCATACAAGATATTTCTTCTTATTGAAGGCGACTCGACCCTGCGGTATCCTTTGCTTTATATCCCTACTACTCCTTCCGTCCTGACTTATCTGACTTCCTAATAGATACTTAAAATCAGTCACTTCTTCTAATTTTTCGTCTCCTATCTTTATATTCGCTCTATCCCCACTTTTTCTTCCTTTACATACCAGTATTTATGTTGTACTTTTATTTATATTCATACAATACTATTTTGTCAATACCGTTTCCATTTTATTTAAAGCTATTTCTAACTCCTCCTTGCTAGATGCTAAAACTGCTATATCATTTGCAAATCTAATCCTCGTTGCTAGATGCTAAATCTAAGTATACTAATCTTTTGCCACTGTATATCTATCCCTACAGTTGTACTGTCTTTAATGATGTTAACCGCGTCTTCGATATATAGATTATAACTGACGAAAATCTGGTTAGTTTTCAAATTTATTTAACGTATATAAGACAAAATTACTGAAGTTACGACGGCATTCTTGGTCTGTTAACTGATAATGAGTCTCTTATAAGAAAACAAACTTACAATCACATTTATTTCGATATTTCAGGATACTCTACAAAGAGTTTCTCTTAATTCCTACCTTTAGCAGAATACAAATTACAAAAAGTTTGTATTTTTTAATACAGGGTGGCCAAATTCCAGAACACAATCAGGAACTGAGAACTGATGCATTCGCTGCTTAAAATGGGTCGAAACTTTTTCAAAATTTCTGCAACGACACATTGAGTTTCATAAAAAGTTTTAATAATTAAAACATATTCTTTATGCAAATAACAAATTTGTCGTGTGTACGTAATTAATTGTTACGCAAAAAAGACAGGTTTAATGCCCAAATAAAATGGTGGAAAAAATGTACCTCTAATTTGGCCACCCTGTATTAAAAAACACAAACTTTTTATAATTACATTTGTTTACTAATTGTAAGTGTTTAGTTTCCAAAATTAGATTCGCTGTAGCAGAACATAATTCAATTACAAAACACTGATTTTCGATTATAAAATAATGATAAAATTAAATGAAATTATTTTTTAGAGGATAATATGATACTTTTCACGTAAATTATTTTCTGTTTCCCCTAATCTGCCACTCAACGTGCCACTTAAATTCCGTAACGGTTGTCAAATCCAACATACGAATTTTACTGAACCATATACCTAATGTAATATGTTATTTTTAATTATTTTATTAAACTTCCTAAAACACAGATACATCGCGTCGATTCGCTCACTTAATTCGAACATAAAAACAATTGATTGGGACACTGGTGGCGTTAGATAAGGACCTTATATAAGCATGTGTTATTGGTACCTACAATCACTTATTATTCAACAGTCGTTAGTTCTTTTCCCTTTCTACCGCCATGTTAAATTTTATAAACAGGCCATTTTTAACGGCATTCGCCATCTTAGTAGTTTTGCATATTTCTTCATCTGCCCCGTACATCTTGAAAGATGAAAAATATCTGGAAAAGGCCGTAAGTACAGATTTTTTATTGATTTTTATTACAGTAAAAAAAAAACTTGAAAAAATGAAAATATTGTCAATATACCCCTATTGGGATATAAGCGAGGCAATTAGGGTAATTCAACATTTTTTTGCTTTTTTTTTCAAACAGGTTTATGTCTGTTGTGTCTGTTAATAATGAAGTGAATTTTGACGGCGGGCCATATTATATTTTGCAAAACTTGATGAATTCGCATTAAAATCTTTTCACAAAATTGTATCCGTTGCACAGCATCTTCCTAGTAAACGGTAGATGTAGGTAGTTAATAGTTAATAGTTAACTACCACTAATAATAGAAAGTAGTAACAAATATATTATTTTTTGTTTGTTTCCAAGTTTGCTAGCACTTTCATAGATATCTTTGCTAGAAATTCGATTATTTTAGTTACTTACAATAAAAACTGTACAATAGATAAATAGAAGGAAAAAGCATACAATTGAATCTGAGAAAATGTACATTAAAAAAAACATTAAAAAAATGGTTTTGATGGTTCGAAGTTATGCAAATGCAATAAATCACCCTGTATAATACTCAATAATTTTTAACCTAACTGTAATAAGCAATGGGCATCCCTCTATTTTTCTTCCAAATATCAATACTTCAGTTTGCATAATATAACAAATATCCAATTAGACAATGAAAAAACATTTTTTTTGATAAAGTTGAAATATCTCGAACACCAGTAGACCTAGATATCGAGAAACCTTATAATAGTCCTTCTAAAATAACACGTAGATTTTAAAAATTCGAAAATATACAGGGTGTTCCATTTAAAATAGAAATTTTTTAATGGTTACTTCTGGTTATACCGGTTATACAAGAATAGCCTTATTTTATGTAAAGAGAGCACACGCGAAAACCTTAGACCCCAAAATTTGATTCGAAGTAGTTTCTAAAATATTCTAAATGGGCCGTCACCGTAAGACACCCTGTATATCTCATAAACAAAAAAAGTTGCACGAACGGAACCAAGTACATTGTACATTAAAAAAGCGTATAATATTAGTAATATTATCTATAAACGTAGGCTCATTTTTTTTTGTTTGACAGTTGCATTTATTTAAGCAAAATTATTGTTAAACAAATTAATGCACTATTACGAAAAAGCAATACCGCTATTCGTTCTACACACAAAAAAGCATGACACTTCATATTTTCTTAAAACTAGAACATCCTACATCCCTAACTAATCCGACAAACAATTTGCAGGGCAGTGTCGGATTAGCGAATTTGTCGGATTATAGAGTACTGCCTAAGACTTACGATTTAGGCGGTCTAAAATACCACATTTTTCTTTAATTGTCACTGTTTTATGCTTTCGCTTCTGAGCTTGTGACGACATTTCTTATTATAAATTCAAACCAAGCAATTAGAATCAAAACAATACTCTACGCGTCGAGCACAATAGTGGTGGTGCGTACAAGTTATAACTTGTTCTATCATGCATTAGCATTACGTTGTTAATTATTTATTTTCGTGGTGAGGATATCTTACTTATAAGAAAAATCAAATAATTACCTATTGTATACAGTATATCTAATGTATAATATGCAATGGCGGATTATCCATAAGGCAAACTAGGCATATGCCTAGGGCGTAGTAAACTAAAAAAAAAATAAGAATGTGCCCGCTTCCAAAAATTAGTTTGCAAAATATATGACCGCCAGAGGGGCGTCTACGAGGTGCTAGTCTAGGGCGCTCTCGACATTTGATCTGCCTCTGCTTATATGTAGATATACTCGAAACTATAGCTTTTCCATGACAAGGATCAAGGAATATACCATATACAATGTTTCAATTGTTATATGTATGGTATTAATTAAGTAGTACACATGTTAATCATACAAAAAATATATTTATTAAAAAGAAACACCTTGTCAAACCGTTTTTACTAATCATAAGTACACGTTGATAACGTGTGTCATAAATCATTAATAGAACAGTTGGTTTATTTCGAATAAATACTACCACATAATGAGTAAACAGAATTTCGATCTCTCTAATCTAAATTTTACTTATCCTACAGTTATCCTGCTAGTTTTTTAAAGAAAAACAAATGTTATTTTGCATTTATGCTATACATAAGTCAAGTAGATTGATATTTTTGCAAATAACTTCACTTAGATCAAGCTTTTCAAAAATAGACTATTTGACTTGACATGACAGAAATTGATATCAACCCGAATTATTTACGCAGAATACCCTTATACATTCTCTAAAGAAATGTAATTCAAAAATCTCCTTTATCATATATGGTTGGTCTTCTTTCTCAAATATACAAACTTATCATGTGGGTTCAAAAAGCACTAACTAATACATGAATCAATTCAAAAAGCAGAATAATTACAAAACCGTCTCATATATTTCAAAGAAGCATATATGTGGATACAGAATGCTGAATTCATTTCCACTTTCGAATTCTTCCCTGATTAGTTTATTAAATGTAATACCATTCCACAAAATTGCTTTCCATTGTTAAGGGGGAAATGGGGCGATAAAAAAAATTGATAAAATTTTAATTTATTCATGTAATTAGCATTAGCATTTTGCCTTGTGTCGTTTATTTTTATTAACTATTTATTTAATTAAAAAAAAGTGGAAGAATTAAAACGTTAAAAAAAGCTTTTCTG